CAGGGAGAGCCTGCCTTTCCTGGAAAAGGGAGGGGTTGGGAAATGCTGGAGGTGGTGGAACTGAAACTGCAGCTGGCATATGACAGATTTCCATACCCCCAGGTAAACAATATACAAACTAGCACATGGCACCTCACCCTAGGCAGAGACACTGCTCACAGCTAGATCCCCCTCACTCCCTTCTGGAACATGGCAGCAAGGAAACAGGCAGACCTACCAGTCTAGCTGGACTGGCTAGGAAAGCAGGATGCTTCCAGAGGGCATAGGATTTTGGACCTGAAGATTTAAATGGAGGACAGGCAGAGTCTTGGCCCTTTTTCTCTCCTGCAACCCCTTGCTCACGTGGTCAGGAACTGGCTAGTGGGGGCTAAATCCCATGGACTGGGCCCCACCCTGGGAATGCCTGGTGGCAGCCTGTGGCATGCTGTGGCTCCATGCCATATGGGTTCTGGACTGCACCCTTTCTCTTGCTCTGAGATCACAGAACAGATGCATGGTCTGGAACACATGCCAGCCTTGGATGGAGAGGGTGAGCAGTCCCGGGCACAGGACCCTGAGGATGCAGCCTCACCACGTGACCGACTGCAGTGGTCTGGCAGCGGCCCTGGGCCCCAGGAGAGGGATGCAGCCGCAGTAAAGCAATGGCAGCACTGGCCTCACAAGTACATACTCCAGGGAGGGAACCCAGAGCCAGAGTCATTCCTGTAACAGCCCTGGGCCCCAGGAGGACAGATAAGAATGGAGCTGGGTTTCTGGACACTCTTTCTGGATCTGGGGGTGGTGGAAGAGAGGAGCCTGGAGCCAAGGGGGACCCCTTTCCCCCAAATTAGGCAACATTTTAAAAAGACCTTTTTCCTTCCCCACCAATCTTTGTGTTATGCTTGTGTTAGGTGGCAGGAGGTTGAATCTCACTCTGTTTGGTAATAATTCTGCATCAAAACTAGAAAGTTGAGTAGGTGAATTAAATATTGGCAGGGAATAGAGAATAATTAACTTCATCTCTGAATTCTAAATTTGAGGTTGTCAATATAAAAAATAAATCCAAGCTTGTAGAGAATTTTTATGAGTTTTTTTGAGCTAAACTGAACACATATGCTGGTGAGCAAGATCTCAAATGCTCCAGAGAATAGCAGTTTTGCAGTTTCTTTTGTGAATTTGAAATTAGGGAGGAGACATATATAAGATTGGAAAAGCAAGGTGGGGATTGGATTACAAGACAGTAAACAAGATTATGTGCCGTAGTGAGGGTTAATTTCCAGGGGCATTACTTCTGGTATTTCAAAGGTGTTAACCTACATGCACAAGAACAATGGACAGAACTTGTTTTAAACCTTTCATTAAAGAAGTTATAGGCCTGGGGCATGACTACCTACTATGATCAGTTAGGAATTCATGATCAGATCACCATGTGATGTTACTTGCTGTAAAACTCCTTTTTTTCTGTCCACAAGTCAAGTATCATAAACAAGGTGGCCTGTAAGCAGTTGGAGAAGTGGAGATGTCACATAGATAAAAAGTTTAGAGTTGTAGATAAGGCATTCCAGCAATTGTTAAAGAAGTGAGTTCAGAGAGAAAAGAGCAGAGAGCTGAGGGCAGAGCCTTCATGAGATTCTGCTGCCACGGTTAAAAATTGGTGGCTTACCTGCTGCAACCTCTTTCTACAAGTGACTACTGCTTCCTTACTCACTGGAAATTTTGTTTTCTAAAACAAAGCCTATCAGAAACTACTTGAAATTACATCAGTAGGAATAAAACATTCCACAGTTGCCTGCATGACCTAAGTCCTAGAGAAGCAGACTTGATTGATTTTTTTAAAGCCAAGTACAGAGCTTTGGGACAGGGGTTACTGAAGACAACATTCCACATTTGCCTTAAATCTGTAGTTCTCAAGGAAACAGGAACTTGGGTTCATTTGTAGTCCAGACCTGATGTAGCAGGTCTGTTTGTTTGGAGCCTATTGCTAAAAACAAAATTGAACTGAGTAAATTTGAAGTTCTAATAGGTTTTATTGAGAGAGTCATGTATCAGGGAGCATCCTATTGAGCACTAGAAGGGGGCTCTGAGGAGCTGTAGAAAATGGAAGGATTTTATAGAAAGAACAGTAGGTAAAGGGAACTATTATCAAAAGAAAAGAAAGGGTTTTTTAAATAGACTTTATTTTTAGATAGGGGAAGGAAGGGAGATAGAAAGGGAGAGACACATCCATGTGTGATTGCCTCTCCAGCACCCCCTACTGGGGACCTGGTCCCAGGTCAGACATGTTCCCTGATTAGGATTCAAACCAGCAATCCTTTGGTTCACAGGCTGTTACTCAATCCACTGAGCCACACCAGCCAAGGCAAGAAAAGATTATTTTTGAACTAATATATCTTTTCTTTCGCGGAAGAGAGAGGGAAGGGTTTTTATTGTGTAGTTTACCTGCCTCTTCTTCCTGTGAGGGTTGGAGAAGGCCTATATGACATTACCTTACTGGTTCTTGACCAGAAAATTTCATACTGGTTGATTGAGATTATGTTTCTGGAAGGGGTTGAAACTACAATTAAATTCAGTATTAAACCTAGGTTTGGTATCCAGGGTTTTTAGCACCAATGATGCCATTTTTGGCCTCTGTTATTGAGCAAGGGCTCACCACCCTGCGTGCATAGAAGCTGATACTGTGGCACAGGCTTTTGACAGGTGGGGGGAAGCTTTACTGTGAGATTAGATGAGATTGGGCGCATTCAGGGTGGTATGGCCATAGTGCTTTATTGTGAGATTAACCAGGCAAGAGGAAGAACTCAACTCTATCTCCTCATCAAGAGTTCAGAGCAAGATTTAAGAGGTTGAAGGGAACAGGCTGTTTTGCGGAAGTGCTGGTATGGCAAATTTCAATGGAAGAAATTTGGAACTTAGCCATTTATGGTAAGATATGGTAAGGGACTTCAGCAGTGGAACTTTCTGAACAATGGGCCCTTCTCTTCTGAAATGGGTCCTTTAGTTCTGCGTGTTGGGGAGGCGGGTGGCGTGCAGGTGGAGTTGAAACTTTGGTTCCCAGTGTTACTGGAGGTCAAAATTCCCTCCCCTACTTACGTTTGGCTGCATGACTTGCAGTTTTGTTCTGTTGTCTGAAAAACAACAGTATCTTGTTAGGAACCGAACAGGGCCAATTTAAGTTGGTTCTGCAGTTACACCTCTGGTTTGGTTTGGTTTGGTTTTTTTCTTTAACACTATCAAAACACAGCTTCATTTAAATTTTACCTGAACCCATACTTCCCCCGAAACCCTGTAAAAACTCCACCTTTTCCTTTGTGAACCCTGAGGGCTAAGAAGGGCCAAAAAAAAAAAAAAACAAAAGGAGAGCCTAGCAGCCATTTCTGCACCGGAGCCCCCTCACACAAACTAAACTTTGCAGAGGAGCCACTTCACTAGGTTGCCTGCCTCGGCACAGAACTGTCTGCCTGCACTGTGTTTCTGCCATCTGAGCCAGAACCTATAAAGGAGTTCCTGGAGTACTAGTCCAACCAATATGATTGAACCTTTCCCCATCCAATTGGAGTTGCCCAACTCTGACCAATCAGAGCAGCTCTATTCTGACCTATCAGAGACTAAGGGTGGGGACTTCTGTCTATATAATCTAGGTCCCCTGGTGTTCTTCGGGTGTACTTTGCTGGGAACTGGTGTCCAGGGGTGGGCACCAGAGACTGGAGCAGAAAGTAGAGTAGGAAAGAGTGGAATAGACCATATCAGAGGAAAGCTTCTTGGCTGGAGGGGCTCTGGCCTGGGCTACAGCACTACAGAGTGGGTCCAAAGTAGGCTTACAGTTGTATGTGTAAGTTTATTCTTTAATTATGTCTTATTAATTACTGTATCATTTCCCACGTGAACAACTGTAAACTTACTTTTCCCCCACCCTGTATTGAACTGTTCCACAGCAGTGCTATTTTTACAGCCATCCAGTGTTACCCTTGAGCTGTTAGCACTAAATAGTTTCCTTCACCTCTCCTTAAATGCGGTTTCCTGTTGGCATTGAATTGGCACCAAGGACCATGGACTATCAGTTGACACTTTTATTTGGAGAGTTGACCCACAGACTCTCTGGTGGGACCTTTCCCTCATTGCAGTGGATCAAGAAACCTGAATCTGTTGAACAATGGATTCATTTTTGGACGTATTAGGTTGATTGGGCAAGGGCAGAGGGCACTGAAGGTTTTCATAGTCCAATCCTTCACCTTATAAACCAAAACTAAGAACAAGAGGAAGAGTTCCTAATTATTTTTGCAGTTCTCCTATCATAGCACTTTAAATCCACTTTAATGAGAAGAACCATTATGATACTCTTCTTCTAAAAACAGGAGGCAAAAATCAACTGTGGAGTGATTTTCCTTAGATACTTAACCCACAAATTTATCCAAGTCCTTTGAAACCATCTCTACACTTCAGGTTAATCATTCCTCTGGTATTGAGACTGATGAGTTCCATTCGTTTATTCCTGGAGAAGAGGGGCCTCCCATTAACTGAGGGCCTTCTCCCACCTCACCCTATTTTTCCACATTTCTTCAGCAACCTTCACTTCTTATTAGATTTTTTTTTCTTTCCTGTCTCCCCAACCCACTCTCCAAGGAAGGAGCAACCGCGCAGAGAACACGTCCCTTGCTTCATTCAAATCTTCCCTTTTCTGACAAGGAGCTCTAAAAGGGCAGCTAGCAATCAATTTTACCTCCAGACTAAATAGAAAGCAAAGGACAACATAGTTGTTTTTTTTAAATCCATTGTTCTCTAAATAAAGCTAAGTGCCTTTCTGCCTTAGCTCAGGGGAGTTCTGTGGCCAGACAGCAGTGAGAGCAGCAGCCGCGTGACCAATCTATGGTGAGTGAGCAGCCAGTAAAACTCGAACTTGCAACCTCCGGGCGGAGAACTGGGACGAAGCGGCAGCGGCTTTGCCTGGCGCGATCAAGGATTGGCGGTCGGGGTGCGCGGCATGGGCGCCTGCGCAGTGCTTCGGCGCACCGCCCATTCCACCGCCTTGTCGCGGGTCCTTGGCCTTAGGAGTGGCCGGGAGGCACCCAGGAAGCAGGCAAGAAAGCAAGCAGACAGCCGGGTGGGGAGACGGTGGGCCCCTCTTGCTCTCTCCCAGGAAGAAGGAAAGGATCACCTTCCCGGTCTCCAGAATCTTCCCAGTCCCCGCAGTCTGCGCAGGCCGGCGAGGGGAAAACTAAGGAGCCGCGGCCACTCGGTGCCGCCGCCACCGTGGCTGCCATGATGGAGCGGAAGTGAGTCTCAAGGCGACAGCTGCGGGCGCTTCGAGTCCCACTCTCCCCATCGCCCTCCGGCAGAGAAAGCGCAACGCCGCGTACTGCTGATTGTCTCGGCCCTCGCGACCCTAGAACTTCAGCTCGGGCCTGCTTCCTACAAGACTGAACGGGGAGTGTCTCCCGGCCTCTAGCACGAGCAGCGAGGAAGATGGCGGACCCGGCAGAGTGCAACATCAAAGTGATGTGTCGTTTCAGACCTCTCAACGAGTCTGAAGTGAACCGCGGCGATAAGTACATCGCCAAGTTTCAGGGAGAAGACACGGTCGTGATCGCGGTGAGTTACCCCGCCCCCTCCCCTGGTTTCGCTGCTTCAGTCCTGGTTGGGCCTGGAGTCCAGAGAAGTGGCGGGGTGCAGAAAGTAGAGCAGTGGTGTCACCGACCTTCTCTGGTGGAGTTTGCCGAGTCACATAACCCAGGACAGGGAGAATGCGCAGCTTCCGTGGGTGCGCCTGGATCGCCTCCACCCGGTCTCCAGTGCCGAGAGACGGGAGGCGCCCGGTCACAGTCTGGGACACTCCCCAACCTGGGGCGCTGCAGGAACTGTCCCGGGAGTGAGTTTATTTGCCTCTGTGTGTGTGTATGCAGTTATTGTTGCTGATGGCCGTTGGGGTTTTGGACTACCTCCAGTTTACCATTCTTAAAATATGTAAGATAAAATTCAGCTAAGAATGTTGAGTTACGAGACCAGGCCCGCCGTATCTTAAATAATAAATACTTAGTTTTATAGAAACATAATTACATGATGAACCATATTTTCCCCGCAGGAGGAGGAAAAACTACCAGAAAACTACAAATGTACCTCAAATGTCTATCCACTCACCTTTTGAAAATTGAAAGACTAAGAAGAACTATTTAAAAAGAAATAGTGAATTCTCTTTTAAAATCGGAGTTAGCAATTTTATTTAATCTTAGAGCAGATGTGTCCACTTCAAATTGGGTCAAAAAAGAGCCTAGAAAGACTCGAAATCTCACTCTTACTGGGTTTTATTGGGTAACAGTCTAGTTAAGAGTGTTAACTTTTTTGTGTTTATATCAGAGTATTATAAAAGAAAGGGTTTTTTTAAAAAATTGACCTATAAACTACATTTCATGTTAGTATTAGATTTCTACTTCTGTAATTAATTTTTGAAAGATAGCTACCTTCAAGAAAGTTGATTTTTATGATCCCAAGGATGGTAAGATACTGTTTCTTTGTAGTTAAAACGTAACATACATAATCAGAGTTGGCTAAATCATTGTCAGGGAAATAAAAATGAAAGGTTAATTTTTTTTTTCTTTGAGGTTTGATCTCTAGTATTGACAGGTTTCAGTTCAAGGAGATTAAAATGTATACTAAGAAACTGCATAGAGAACAGTGTAACTAAAAATTAAATCTTTCTTTGTAATACCATGTGGCAGAACTTTTTTCTACATTGTTATCATGGTACAAATTAATGTTAATTTTTTCCAGTGGCATTCCATATTTAGCATATTGTTCAGACAGTTTAATTTGGAAATATGACAAAGGGGTCATAGGAGTTGGGACAATGCTAATTAAAAGCATTAACATGTGAGGCAGAACTAAAGTTCTTTAGAGTTTGTGTGTGAAAGTTTCCAAAGTTTAGGTCTAGAGAATGAATGTCCATTGCTTGTTAGGCTTTTGACAAGCAAGTCATTAGGTTGCAACTGTCAACTACTTCTATGAGAAGATTGTCAAGCTTTGTCAGTCTTTGTCAACAAGTCCACAAGAAAAGCTTTGTCAACAAGTCCACAGGAAAAACTCTTGCTATAAATGACATTACTGTGAGGTCAAGAAGTTAAGCACAGAAGTAGTCATCCTTTTTTTTTTCTTTTCTTTTTTTTTTTTTTTTTTTTTTTTGAATGATATATTTTACATGGAATCAGGAGGCTTGCAAGGCATAGGAAAGTTCAGTAGTGGGCAAACATGAGGCTACTAGTTTCTCAGAGTTTTTGTGATTACTCACCCTCAAAAGTGCTCGACACATCTAAGCTGTTTTCCTTTTTGACTTGTATTAAGAATGTCTTCTCCAGATTTTTTTTGTGTGTTTACACAAATCTGTAAATATTACCAAGAGTTTTGGGGGGGAATGTTAGAATTTAGGATTCACAAAATGTATTAAGATTGGGTTAGGAAGCAACCTTCTGGTACAGCTCAAATATGACAAAATATGAGGAAAGAGTTTTAAAAAAAACAAACAAGTAATTACCACAGGAAGCTCACATTTATGCTAGGTTTTCTCCTTTGGATAAAGTTAGAAGTTTCTCATATGTTTACTTAGTAAAGTAAATAAGCTTTAAATGATAATAGAAATAATGGATGGATGATTGAGCCATGTGAATCAGTGATGAATAGTTAAATTGGTCTTTAGGTAAACTGGCAGGCATTTTCATGTTTTTGGGGGGTTTTTTTGGTTTTTTTTTTTAGAAATATGTAAGCAGAAATACAACTGAGTGACAAAACCTTTAGAAATATAAGGTAACGGGTTTAGTTCATTATTTTCAGGAACTAGTCTTTTGCATATGGTAATGTTATTAATTAGCCTAAGGTTGCTTTTTTATTCATTTTTTTAAATGAATTTTTTCTTTTTTAAAGGTTGTTTGGGTATTTATAAGGGCTGCTGAGGGAAGTAAATTAAAAAATCTCTAGATAAAACTTCTTGGCTTGTTTTGTTTCATTGAATCTTGAACCTGATTCAAAATAAGGAATTACTGTATTTGAAGAATATAAACATGATTTTAGAAGTTTGCTTACAGTCTTCTAGTTAAATAAAAATTTAGAGACTAAGTATTTTGGTTTATAATGTTCCTGAATTGTAAGTGTAATCAGTGTTCATGTAGAAAATAATTTTTAAGGATTCTGGTTTTCACCTAAATTTGGTTTCTAATATTTTGTCCTGATTTTTTTCTTTTACTCATGTAATCAGTTATTTTTAATATCATGTGACCACATGACAGACAGATCTTGTAATCTTGTCATGTTTTTCAGTTTGGCCATTTTTCATAGGTTGGTGTTTTTTGTTTTGGGTTTTTGGGGGTTTTTTTTGTAATTAAGAGCTTGGTGAAGTTCTGTAAATATCATGTATTGAATGAAATAAGCAAATTATTTTATGAAAACTTTTAAATGATATAAGCAGAATCTACTTGCTTCAAATAAGAGAACTTGATACACACCAGAAAAGGGAGGACAAGGGAACCTTCTTACGTACTTCACATGCACCTGCTGAAAACAGAAAAAAAAATCCATAGGAAAAATTATTTCTGTATTTATGCATCATAAAAGTAGAACATTCACATTTGCATTAATTATCTTTACTAATCATTGTTCTTTATATTGTGTACTGTAGAGGCTGCCAGAACCAAAAACAGGCCTGTTATGTGTAATTCATTGAAGAGAAAGAATAAACCTAATTAAATTATCTTGCCCAGTTCCTTGCCTTCAGCGCAACAGGATTTCCCTTCCTAAGTGAATGATGATTTGGTGTTTGATTCTGTTTACCTTAACAGTGAAATTATTAGCCATCATTATATACTGTTACAATTGTGGGATGTTTCGTCCATAATCTGTGTCAAACTAAGAAAAATCTAGTATCCTGTAATTCCATGTGATCTGATGATTACTAATCAGAATTCTAAACAGAGTGATACCCTTGCCAGATAGGTCTCCTTTGTAACCTAATTTGGTGTTCAGCCTGGTCTGTGCACAATCAGACACAAATCACTTCACTTAAGAAATCCAAGGTATGGTTGCAGTTCAAATAAACATTCTTATTTGGTTTTGTCCAGTAAGCCAAGTAAGATGTCAGTGAATCTTGTGACCTGGAGTGTCTTTGAAGATAGACAGAAATAAAGAGTGCATAACATACATTTGAAGGCCGAGAACCAGACTTTAAAATGTAGATGTCCAGAAAAAAGAAATACTGAGGTTTATTTTGTTTAAAGTATTTGAAAGATTATTAGTTCGGAGGTGTGCCTTAATTATAAACCATTAGAAATAGTTTTTATGTTTCATAAGTCTTGTTTTTCATCCTAGGAAGTCAAGGTCAGTTAGTAATTTTATGGTTAGATCTCTAATCAAAAATTTGCCTCAATAAAATTATAATTTAGTTTTGGAACTAAAATAAGGCTATTTTACCAACATAACACTTAGCACTTAATTTTTTTATTTAACAATGATACAACTTTTAAACAAATCACTCTGTCCCAGCTTAATTTTTTTATGTTTGCAGGTTCATAGTTTTACTTTAATAAGGTTGTAGAGGTAGTTTGCATATTTACTATGTAGTGCTACTAGAATAAACAGCTGCATAATGTACTTTTGAGGCAGACTTTATTATTAGTTATTTTTAGTATATCTCTTTTTAAATGGAATAAAAGCACTGTTTTATTGATATAGAAATGGAGATAACTTAAAGAGTTCAGTAGTGGTCTTTCTGTTCTTTAAATGTTTATTTTAATAATATTTTATTTGACTTATTTTGGAGGGGTGCAGTTGTCTCCATACTTTTATGTTTTAAGTTGATTAATTTATTTCTTATAAGCAAAATTAGAATTAATAGTTTAAATTTTGTTTTCATGTTTTTTTAAATACATCTTATTAACTGTATATTTTACCTAGTTGAAATCTATTCTTGACTACCAGGTTGTGAGTTCTTGAAGGCTAGAGATGGTCTACATTTCAATTCAGTTAACATCACTTGATCACTTATATTAATTAGATCCTAGTATAAAGTTTCTTATTTAGTATTCAACACTCTATTATTATCTTGTGTTATTCTTTGAACACAAAAACCTGTACTAATTAAATACGATTTCTAAAATTGTTACTCCCTGGCTGGTGTGGCTCAGTGGATTGAGCGCCAGCCTGCAAACCAAAGGGTTGCCAGTTCAGTTCCCAGTCAGGGCATGTGCTGTGTTGTGGGCCAGGTCCCCAGTATGGGGCGCATGAGGGGCAACCACACATTGATGTTTCTCTCCCTCTCTTTCTCCCTCCCCCTCCACCTAAAAAGAAATAAATAAAATCTGCAAAAAAAAAAAAATTGTTTCTCAATTATATCTGATTCCTTATAGGTACTAAATAAATGTTTGCTGGGTAAATGAAGAGTTATTTTCTTTTTGCATAGAAAAAATAGCATGGTTTATCTCTGAGTGGTGATTTTCTTTTTTAATTTATTAGGGTGACATTGATTAATAAAATCATATAGGCTTCAGATATACAGTTCTACAATACATCATCAGTATATTGTATTGTTTGTTTACTATCTCAGGTCAAGTCTC